GTAAGCATGGACGCATATTCCTGGCATTACCCTCCCCACCCCCGGCCCCTCACCCTCCCACTGCATAACACAACGCACCCATCACAATCACACTCGGTCTACCAAGACGGGCACACACCCCTGCCCTTATACACTGGCTATGGAGGTTGGACCGAGGTCCCACGGGTAAAGCACTTGTCACCACCCAAGGGGGTACAGACACCTGGCTTGAACCCTGAATGAGACCGGGAGAGGTGGCTGAGCCAGGGGGCTGACGGGGATGTGGGCCAGGCACCATGGGCACATTTGCAGCCCCGCGGCGCCTCTAGCCGCGGCCCAACTCCACGTCCTGGGTCTGTGCCGGTGTGGGTGTTTGCGGGGCTCACCAGGTACTTGCTGATGGCGGCCTGCCTTCCTTCCTGCCGGAACCGTGCTGGGCCCGTGGGGACAAACCACAGAAGCACAAGCAGGCAGCTCTCCTGGCTTCAGGAAATGGGTCAAGGATTTCCAACAGCAACCTTAGGACACAGCCCAAGCCAGGACCCCTGTGTAGCCCACCCAGTCCAAGGCTCCAGCCCTCCACTCCTCTCAAGGCGGCTCCCACCACAGACCACACTCAACCACCACAACTTCCTTGCAAAAACCCTCGGCTCACCCGAGGGCCAGTGGAAATTTATTTATTTTTTGTCCTTTCCATCTCTCCCCAAGTGGCTTTTCCTTGCAAAATGCCTGACACGACACCAGAGGGGATCCTGGGGTTGGGGGGGCACCCCAAGGGGCAGCCCAGGGACTTAAATACAAGCTGGAGGGCAGGGCACGGGTGGGACAGGCAAGAGACAGCACAGGTACATGGCTTCTCAGGTAGAGACCAGAGGTTTGTTTTCTGCAGGAAGAAGCTGTGTCAGAGGGCAGGGGGCTAGGATCCCAGGTGGGAGGGGGTAAGTGGAGAGGCCCCCCCCAACCCTGGGATGCACCCGCATTCCCAGAGAAGTAGCGACAGGCAATGAGGATCTGCCCTCACAGGCTCCAAGGGACGGAAGGGGGAGAATAAGTCAGATGTGCTGCCTCAGGGACAGGGAAGAGGTGCCGGCAGAGTGAGGGTTAAGGCTGATGCCCAGCCTCTGGCACGGTGGGCCTTCCGCCTCCGCCTGCCTTGGGGACAAAGGGGCATGGTGGGCAGGCAGCACATGGGCCTGGCTCTGGCAGGGCAGGGAGTGGCAGGAGCAGGCTTCCTCTGGGCTCAAGACACAGGCCCAGCACGGCTGCCCACCCACCTGCCCTAGATGTGCTCGGACCCCACCGCAGCTGGACGGCTAGAGGGGTGAGTGTGGGAAGGGTGGGAAGGAGGCAGAGAGGAGAGGAAGTGGGCTGCTGGGCCCCTGTGGCCCCACGCCCGTCCTGAGGTCCAGCCCAGGGCCCTGGATCCCAGGCCCTGGATGCCCTGGTCCCATTCCTGGCCCCATGCACTGACTGCAGCCAGGGGCAGTAGAGGCCAGGGAGGCCCATGGCTCTTGGGGAAGGGGTGTGCAGGGAAGAGAAGGGAGAGGGTAAGGAGAGAAATCCACTGCAGCATACATGGGGGACAGGGGAGGGAGACAGAGGAGCCCTCATCCCAAAGAAAGGTGTGTGGTGGGGTATTGTTTAAAGTCACCTAGAGGCAGCAGCAGAGCAAGCCCACACCCCTACCCCAGCCGCAGGTCCTGGGTGTCCTCCCTTGGGGGTCCTGACAGAACCAGAGCTTAGGGTGGCAGGCAGATGGGCCAGAGGGAGATGGGAAGCCCAGGACACCCCAAAGCCACAGATTCAAATGCCCCAGCATAGGGAGGCACCTCTTGCCCCCCTCTCCAGGGGCATCATCTGGAGAAGGTGCCCCCTCCTGTCCCACCCCACAAGCCCCTCCTAGCAACAGCCGCCACCAGCCTGCTTCACGGGGGTGCTGTCAATCTTGAGGTTGGGCCGCTCACCCCCCGAGGCTGCCCCAGGCCCCATCCGCTTTTTGATCTCAGCAGCCATGGTCATGAACGCCTGCTCGACATTGGTAGCATTCTTGGCACTCGTCTCCAGGAAGGGGATGCCCAGGGAATCTGCAAACTCCTAACAAGGGGAGAGGAGAGAAGAGGAGGGGAGAGGGGTTGAGAGGCAGCAGGCCCCAGCGCACCCAGGGCAGCCTGACTGGGGCCTGCTCACCTTGGCCGTGGTGTTATCCACCACCTTCTTGGTGGTGAGGTCGCTCTTGTTGCCCACCAGGAGCTTATTGACATTCTCGCTGGCATAGCGGTCGATCTCCTGTAGCCACTGCTTTACGTTGGCATAGGATTCCTAGAGCAACCAGGTCAAAAGTTATTTTGCTCCCAACTCCCACCCCACCCTAGGCCTGGAGAACAGGGGCTTTGATGGGAGGGGAAATGTCCTGGACTCCTGAGAGAGGCAGGAGCCCGGGCCTCAGGAAGCCAGAGGAAGCGCCTCCAGGCTTAGCGTGCCTCCCTGCCTTCCTGTCTGAGACCCCAAAAGCCAGGTCCCGTGGAGCCCCGGCTGTCTGCCCACAGCCCCAACACTAAACAGCCTAGGCCAAGGACCAGCCAGCTCTGCTTCCTGCAGCTGCTCATCTCTCCCTAAGACACAGAAAAGGCCTAACCACACAAAGGGAGCAAATGGCATCAGAAGAGAGAGACAAGCAAGAGAGAAGACAGAAACAGAGGGTTAACAGTTTAGCAAGAATGGCAAAGTTCCCACAGTGGCCCTGAAGTCCCTTTAAGGTTTGAACTCTTGGAGCCCCGTGATCGGTGGAGGGTCCTCACAGAGGAGAACCTGGCCTGTGTGAGAGACTGGTATCTTGGGAACAGGGGCTAACATTCGTCCTACTTCTGGCACCAACAGCCTCCTCACTCAGCCTGGCTCTCTCGGCCTGCCACTCCCCACCCCCCATCCCTTGGAACAGAGACAAAGGACAGAACTTTTTAGGAACACATTCAAGCTAGAGACACTTTCCCTTCTTAGGAACCCGAGGTCTGGTGATATCACACTGGGTTCAAACATATACCTCCTGCCATGTCCCAGGCTGGCCCTGTGCTGGGCACTGGGGACAAATAATGGAATCATGCCTGGGCCCTGCCCTAAAGCACTCAAGTGGACAGTGGAGGACCAAACTAGGATACACACAATGGCCAGACAGGGTGATCAGGGCTCAGGGATAGATGGCAGGAGCTGGTGGAGCTCCGAGACCATCTCTGCCTGGGAGGATACAGATGACCTATACCTACGGGGATGAACCACCCTTGTGTGGGTACAAGTGGAGGGACGGGGAAAGGTGCAAGAGGAGGAACTGACATACACCAGGTCACAGAAAGGGAGGGGTGTGGTGTCTCTGGGGAGGAGGAGAAGCTCAATGTTGCTGGGATGCAGGCCCTGAGTAAGGAAGGAGAGGGAGAGGAGGCAGGCCCCAGCATGGAGGTGCTCAGCCTGGCTAAATCTTAGACAACCAGGAGCCAGTGGAGGTTTTCTTAGGAAGGGAGCAGCAGGAGCACACCTGTGTTCTGGAAAGATAGTCCTGGCAGGAGTGCAGAGGCCAGATCAGACCAGCAAGATGGAGACCAATTGGGAGGTGGGTGGAATAATCCAGGGAAGAGAAGATGTGCCCTGAACCAGAGAACAAGGTAGGGAAGGGCACAGGATTGAGAGTCAGACCACCCAGGGTGAAGCCCTGCTTCTACCATTTACTGTATGACCTTAGATGGGTCACCTGACCTCTCTGGACCTCAGTTTCCTCACTTCTATAAAACAGTACCTCCCCAGGGGGCTGTTGTGAGCATGAGATAATGAATGCAGGCCTGTCTCATAACAAGTACTTAATTAGCAAAAGCTGCTATTATTCTCATCACTGCTATTATTACGAGGGGATGGATCTGAGAGAGCTGATGTAGGGAGAACAGAGGGGCCCCAGGACTGACAGGATGGGGGAGGGAAGTTTTCTAGGCAGGCTGACAGGGACGCTGTTAACAAAGATGAGGATGTAGGAGCTAGTTCAGGAAGAGATGGTGAGATCAACACCGGACATGCTGGGTCTGCAGATGGTTTGGAGCCTGCAGATGGCCTAGAGGCTATCTAGGGGCAGGAATGGGTACACTGGGAAGTAAAGAACTCTGGGTGCAAACACTGGCTTTGCCTTTCCTGGCTGTGAAATCACAGGCAAGTAACTAAACACATCTCCAAGCATGTTTCCTCATCTGGAAAATGGTGACCCCTCCACTTAGTTCACTGGGTAATACTGTGAAGATGAGAATTAACACAGACATAAAGTGCCAAAAGAATGTAGTACACAGAGGAGACCCATGGTGATAACTGTTTAGACACAGAAATCACAAAACACAAAACAAAAGCTAAACCACAAAGTGGCCAGGGAGTCAGGAGGAGGCTGGGAGCAATAAGAAAGAACAAAATATGGGGCTGTAGGGGTCAGGGGGCAGTACACGACGAACCAGTAAAAAGCCACTGAAAAGAGAATCTAATGCAGCAGGTGGAGGTGGGACAGCTAGAGATAGTAACTTTTTCAAGGAGAGTGAAGAGAACGGAGTTAAAAGCCACGAGAGATCACTCATGCAACAACTGGGATGAGGTCACGGGATCTGGCAGTTAGAGGTCCTTGATGACCTCTGTCTGAGTGGAGCACAGTTCACCCACAGCTTGCTGTCCAGGAGGCATCACCCGTCACTGGTGAGCCGAAGAGCCCAGCTGCCCCTCAGAGAGGGGACTCCTCCTGGCCTGAGCATGACACAAGCATCGCCACGTCCCCAGGGCCTGGGCCCCATTAAGCAACAAGGTTTAAAAAGAACATAGCAGACAGAATCAGTAGACCTCGGCTTTCTGTCTCTGTCACTTAACTAACTGCAGGGCCTCAGTAAGCTCACCCCTCTGACCCAATTCTTCATCTGTAAAATGGGAATATAAAGTAGACCTCTTTAGAGTGTTATGAGCATCAAAAGGCTGTGGCAGAACACGTGAACTACACGGCATGTCAGGACTGTTTCTGGCTGTTGACATCACCACTGCTGCCAATGACAGAAGACTAATGCCTCCAGAGCAGACACAGGGCTCCAGAACTCTGCTCACACTGGGCCCAGAGCACTGGACTCCCTCACTTTCTTAGGTAAGGCCCTCCAATTGTTTCTCCACAGTGTCTTTACATAGGAGGCTATGGGCCCAGCCCAACAATCGATCAGCTGACTAAACTCCCACAAAACACAGGTGCCTGGAAGGTCGAGAATAAGGTGGCAAATCTGACAAGGAGGTGTGAGGCCTGGTTCTGCTAAGGACCCACATCAGGGCCTGCAGAGCTTCCATTTTTATAGCTAGTTCTCTCCTTACGATATGAGTCTGAGAACAGTCTCCTTTCCAGACAGTATCAGGAAAAGAGGACGGGAACGTTAACAAAGGAGCAAAAGCCAAATACCATGAGGCTGAGGAGGCAAAGCTGGGGATGGTGAGCCCAGGAGTACCTGGTCAGTGACGTCATACACCACGATGATGCCGTGAGCCCCCCGGTAGTAGCTGGAAGTTATGGTTCGGAACCGTTCCTGACCAGCTGTGTCCCACTACAAGACAGCAAGAGAGAGAAGCAGGTCAGCCCTGGGCTCCATGCCCAGAGCCCCTTCCCTCCCAAGGCAGATGCCTCTGCACCAGGGACTTCGGGAGGAGGAACACTCACGATCTGAAGTTTGATGGTTTTGCCATCCAGCTCAATGGTCCGGATCTTGAAGTCCACGCCGATGGTACTGATGTAGCTTTCTGTGTACGTGTCATCCTGGAAGATCAGGGGCCAGTGAAATGGCCTGAGTGAACAGGTCTGAGGCCCATATGGAAAACTCCCTTCAGTTCCTTGCCTCAGATGAGCTCCTAACTGCTGAGCCCCAGTTCTCAGCACCCCAACTTGCCAGCCCTGTGCCCTTGTTCAGTTAGACATGTTGCTGGCAGCTCGGGCAACTTCATCCTTGGCCTCCCAGGTCTTGCAACCACTGTGCTCTGGGTTGCCCCCTCTCCCTCCAGCCACCAGCCAGGACCCCAGATGGATGGTATGGGAAGCTTCTTACTCACAGCAAACCGCAAGAGCAGGCATGACTTGCCCACGCCCGAGTCACCAATCAAAAGCAGCTTAAACAGGTAGTCACTGGAGAGAAAGGATGGGAAGGTATGAAGGCAGGCAGGGAGCCCACCTGCCATCATCCTGGAGTCACAACTACAGCATTCTCCCACACCATGAGCTGTGCCTCAGATTAGAGTATTAAGACACTTGTAAGACCCTCCCACAAGTCTTAGGATGGGGAGGGCTGATCACTCTCCATAACACAGCTGGCCCAAAGGGGTGAGTCTGAATTCCCACTTTACAGACAAAGAAACTGAGGCACAGAGAGGAACATGACTTGCAAAGGTACAGAATTGGTTAGGTGACGGAGCTGGGCATCTTACCCTGCCTCCTGATAGACTCCATGGTTCGGGTCCAGTAGGGGCTAGAGAGAAACCCTCCTACACTGCCCTGTGCCATACCTGGCTTGGCAGGAGAGACCTCAGAAGTGGAAGCCAGGGCCCAGCCTAGAACTTCAGTATCTATGTGAAAAGCCTGGTATGAAGCCTCTAAGAAGAGCTGATGAACCAGTGGCAATGATAACAGCAGTTAACATGTATTGATTTCCTCCTTGTGCCTGGCCCTGTACTAAGTACTTCAAATGCATCACTTCACTTAAGGTTCCCAACAGTCCAATGAACTGTTATTTCCAACTAAGGATGAAACCAGAGGCCAAAGAAGGGAAGCAACTTGCCCTAATCTGTGTAAGTTGTTAACTTTAATACTGGACACCAGGTTCAGACTTTATAAAGTCTCTGTGAGAGCCTGTTGGTTTCCTTCTCTGTTCCCCCTTACAATCCAGTTCAGAGCTTCACCCTTCCCCAAGGAAACCTGAGGTCTGGATCTGGAGAAGAAAAAGGAAGTTGCAGAAGAGGAAGAAGATAACTGACACTTAGGGAAAACTGGCAAGGAGAAGTCGGGGCAGAGATCTGGGCCACCTACCCGTAGGGGGAGTGACCAAGAAGTGAGGAGAGTTTGAGAAACAAACAATCCCACTGGAAGGTAGGAAGCAATGGCCACATTCATCTAAACTTCATCGGCAGCGTGACGGCGAAGGGAAGAGGTGTGACCGTGGCGCTGGGGGCCTGCGCAAAGGTGAGGGGAGGGCGGGAAGGGACTGGCCGCCGGGAGTGGCAGGGCAATTTGACTCAGGCAAGGGGCAAAGCAGCAGCCTGGGAGAGGAGGGGCTGCGGGAGAGCTATCCAGAGCAGCCCCTGGGGCCTCCCGCGTCTGACCAGCCCCTGGGCTAGCCCAGAGGAACCGGATTCCGGGAGAAGAGGAAAACAGAATTTAAGGCCCGACCTAAAGGGCCCGAGTCTAGACCGAGACCAGAAACCAGTGACAGGTTCCAAAATGCCGGGACCGTCGTCAACACTAAGACCGCCACTCTCAGGCAGCAGGTGGGGAAACTGAGGCCTGGAAATACCGGAGCTGCGGGGTCACCTGACCGATAAGGCCTGGTAGTGCCGGTGCCTCGGACTCCAAGTTGTGCCCCTCAGGGTCGCAGTCTCCGGACCCGGCTGCGAGAACTCGGGGTGTCGAGCCGGGGTCCTGGGGCCCTCGGAGGAGGGGCAGGACCCGGATGTGAGGGGGGGGAGGTCAGCGGAAGAGGGACCCGGATGTGGGGGCGCCGCGCAGTCCTGACCCGAGCCAGACAACCCCGGTAAGCGTACAGCCCCGTACTCGGGATCGAGGCTGCGCCGGACGGCGCGGGCGGGGCTCACTCACTATTCGGGGTTCATGGCGGCGGCGGCGGCCCGCTCGGTTGCTCCCAGTCGGCTCTGCTCCGCCTCCCGTTCCAAGATGGTGGCAGCTCCGCCCCAGAGGCCACGCCCGCCACGCGCAGACGCAAACACCGCCGACTGGGGCTTCGTCGCGTTGCTTCTCGGAACTTGTAGTCTCCTTGCATTGTCCGGTTCACCCACCACTGCGCAGGCGTACACCCGAGTGCCTGAGCTGCGGGGCCCACGCCGCATCATCGCCGCGCATTGCCTTCTGGAGCTTGTAGTTCGCTCCCTAGAAATACCTGGGCTTGAGGACCGCGCTCCGGAGCCTGACGGCGTCCCGGACTTGGAAGCTCAGTTTAGTGCTGGGGTTGACACGCTTCACGTCTGTCTGACAGAGGCATTCATACTAACCCTCCCTGCTCCCGGAGTTGTGAGCATTAGTAAAAGTTTATTTATCCAGGGTCCTTGGTGTGCTGGCGCTCCTAACTCCCAGCCGCAACCCCAGGAAGGTGTCAACCACGGTTTATAGACGAAAAGATCGAGTCTCGGTAACTCGCTCAAGGTCAGACAGCTTGGTACGGAGCAAAGCTCAACTAAAGCCTGCGGTCTCTAGAACCTCAGAGATGAGGTTGTTAGAAAAAAACATCCTGACCCTTTGGGCGCCCAAACAATCCCAGGATGGGAGAAGCCCATCTGGGCTCAGCTGCGCGGGACCAGACATGAGCGAGACACACACACACCGCCCCCACTCACTCGCAGCCTCTCCTGACCCCAACCCCAACCTAGAGACCTACAGACGCTAGGAGCCTTCCGCCTCCGTCCCAAAACAAGCCCAGCTCAGAGTCAAACCGTCTTTATTTCTACAGCAACATCTGAAAATAGAGAGCGGCCGCCTCGCCCCCCACCCCTAACTGGGGCAGCCCCTCCTGCTACAGGGGGCCTTCACTGCCCCTCGCAAGTAGCTGCAGGCGTGGGAAGAGACGTGGCAGGACGGCTCTGAGGGCGGTGCCCGGGGCGGGGTCAGGCCGTGCCTGGTGGGAGGGGCAGTGCATAAGGCCGGGCTGTGGGGCAGGGCCCGGAGGTGAGAGGACGGGCAAGGGGCAGGCTCTCCGTCCTGGGGCACAGGGCGATGGCGGGGCAGGGCGCTCAGAGACCGGGAGGAACCCTTTGGGGAGGCGCCGCCCCGGGAAATGTGGAGCCTGGGAGATACCACCGCGCGGAATGGGGGTGATTAAGGCCTGGGCGGTACCACTAGAGAAGGGCGGGGTGAGGGGAGGCCCGGATAGTACCGAGGACTGAGGGGAGGGGTGCGGCCAATAACTTATTTCTCTATATACAGATGCAACGGCCTGGGGAGGGCAGGAGTGCTGAAGGGACCTTAGGTGCTTAGTGTTCTTGGCTCCCGGGTCTGCGGAGGGCGGGCCACTGAGTCTCTACCTGGGAGACACTGGCCAGCCCCTCCTGCTGGCCCTGAACCTATGGAAGAGGGGCCCTGCTGGAAGGAATAAATAAGGGGTAGAACTGGAGCGGGCAGGCCCAGCCTCCAGCGCTCAGGCTGAGATGACAAGGGAGGAGGTTACCCTGAGATTGAACAGAAAAGACAGGGGTCCTTGGGAGACACAAGAGGGGCAAGCAGCAGGCCCATGCGCAGGGCTGGGGTGGGGACAGTGCCCGGTGGAGGCTCTGGTGACGGGCTGCCCTTCAGGATTAGCCCACGAGGGAGCTTCGTCGAGAGAGGTCCATGGAGCTGGAGCTGAGGGTGCGGCTATCAGAGAGGCCTGTACCTCCAGGCTGTGGGTAGAGGGGCAGGTGGCTCAGCCTTGTGCTGCTGCCAGTTTGTGCTTCCCTGGCCTGAAGGGGCCTGACTAGCCAGAGTCCGTGGGGCTCTGACATGCCCACCCACCGCCGCAGTTACTATGTTGGCACTGGCTGCTGGCAGGCAGGAGCTGGTCTTCCCTCATTTGTCTCCCCAGTGTCCAGCCCAGAGCCAGGCCTGGGATAGAGACAGGAAGTGTTGCTGGATGAACAGACATGCTTGAGGAGAAGCTCAGCAGGTACACAGGACAGGCAGACCTTGGGCCCTGGGGCCTGGGCCTCAAGCTTCCCAGTGCTGACAACCACCCACTCATACCTGGACTGGCTCTTCCACACTCTTGTTGAGGAAGTTGAGGGAACTGGCTCGCTTCATCCTGAGGGAAAAGGACAGTCAGGATTTGCCCACAGTGGAACTGGAGGAGGATAGGGGAAGGGGTCAGGTTGGGGTGGGGAGGGAGGCTGATGGGAAGGGAACAGATCTGATGGGCGGTAGAGCTTCAGAGGAGGGAGTTCACCCTGGGTCAGGAGCTCAGCTGGGGTTGGCAGGTTGTTGGGTGGGGGCTCACCTGGGGTTGGGGGGCTCCTGGGGGCCACTGCCCTGCAGCTTCTTCACCAGCATCTCACTGCTGCGCCTCAGGGCATCTCGGAGCTTCCCAAAGGAGCCGCTGCGCCGCAAGGCACCACTGCCGTCCTGTGGGGTGGAGAGGCTCATCTCTTCGCCACACCGGCTACACAGCCTCCTGGCCCAATCTAGCCCCTAGACTCACCCCACTCCACTCGGCTGCAGGCCCTGCCTCCTCGAGGTCAGACTCAGACCTAGCTCCAGCACCGCCAGGTGTGTCTCGGCTGCTGCGGCGGTCTCCCCGCCCACCACTGCCATCTTTCAGCAGTTCCACCACCTTGGTCTGGCTTGCAGGGTCCAGGCCCTGAGGGAGGACCGGGTCCATCAGGTGGAGCAGCGGACCCTGACTGAAACACACACCACACAGGGCCACAGCAGGTCCCTGCCCACACGCCTCGTGCCTGAGCCCTACCTGCTTGCGGCTGCGGCTGGCACAGTCCTCCAGTGTGTGTGCAGCTTCTAGCTTGCCCTGGCGCCGGTACAGGGCCCCCAAACTGCGCAGGGTGGTGTTGACCGTGGGGCTGTGGACGGGGAGCAGGAGAGTCTCAAACTCCGTGTGTTCCCTAGAACCAGGGACCATCCTGACACCCAGTCAACACTGGGCCCTGAGGAACCATTCAGCCAACCAAAATCTTGTGTGTTGAGCCCTGTGCTAGGTCCAACTGGATCCACCTATCCTGGGGAATCATCCCAGGGTCCTAAGTGAGATGTTGCCACCAGAACTAAAAGCTGGGAAACCCAGGAGCAAGGTAACCAGGCTATCCCAGTACAAAAGGCCTTCTTGGGACATGAAGCCTATGACCTGGGCCTTGAAAGACGAGCTGACAGGGAGGAGGTGTCTGTTTTGGGGCTGAGCAGTATGGAGGTGGAGCCTCACTGGGGCCCCCACCCAGGATGCTATCTTCCTGCTCTCTGCTCTACCAATGGTCGGCCCTGCCCTGCTGTCCTCACCTGTCTACCTTTACAGGCCTTGTACCAGCTGCCATATTCCCCATAGGGGGTGCTGTCCCGGCGCTTATCCTAGGGGAAAAAATGGTCAGAGGAGGTGGAGGGAGGCCCTCCCCTCTACACCTCCCTAGCCTCATCCTCCCTGCACAGACACCCGCCCCAGCCCTGCCCCACAGAGATACCTTGCTCTCCTCCCGTTCCTCTGCGTGCATCCAGATGGGCTTGTTGTCCCCTGCGGGAAGAAAGGGGGCTGTCATCAGCCACCACTAGAGTAGGCCTCTCCTGATTGGGCTGGACACAGGACTGGGGTCTGGGGAGGTCATGGGGAAGGGAACCCCAGGAGGACCAGGGTTGGGCTTCACTGAGTGAATGAATGAACAAGAAACAGACCCAAAACATCACTGACCCTCCTCTGCAACAAAGATGAAGGTGGCACAGGCCTGTTCTAGAGGGGCTTGTGACAGGAGGTTGGGGACTGCAGCCCCCACAGCCTGAGATAATGCTTGGCCTGAATGATGGGCTAGGTTGAGGAGTTCCAGAGCAGGAAATGACTGACCACTAGGGGCCAGAAGGTGGCTTCCCAGAGTGGGAGACATCTGGGCTGGGCCCCCATGGAATGCATGAATTGCCCAGTGGAGAAAAGGGAAGATGCTCTGGGCCAAGAGCACGGGGCTGCAAAGGGAGGGTACTGCGTGGGTTCTGCCTCCTGAGAGGCTGCATCAACTGGGTGCGTGTGCTCACGCACACGCAGGAGTGGTGGCCGATCAGCCAGCTAGACCCCAGGCATGAGGCCTGCCCGGCTGAGGTATTTGCCCTGGATACCGATGGCTGACAGGGCCTAAGCTGGGTGAGCTGGGGCACAGGGCAGCTGTGCTCACCATTGACAGAGCCAAACTCCTTCTCGTGAGCACGGGTGAGAATCTCCTTGTACAGGGTCTCTGCATCCTGGTACTTGCCCTGCTTCAGGTAGCAGGAGGCCTGGAGGGGCAGGGACCAGGGGGTGAGCAGGAGGCAAGGAGTCGAGCCTTTTCCTTTCCTCCCTCCACCTCCCCCCAAGCCCAGGACACCAGGTTGTTCTTGGTCTTGGCCACATTGGGGTCGTCAGGCCCAAGGCATGTGGCGTAGATCTCCAGTGCCCGCCGGTAGTAATATTCCACTTCCTCAGCTTTGCCCTGGTTCTGGCACAGCAGGGCCAGGTTGCTCAGCTGCTTGGCCACATCTGGATGGAACTTGCCCAGAACCTAGGACAGGAGCAGAAGCCAGTGGCTGGGCTCAGGGCCAGCTGAGGTCCCCCTGCCTGCCCAGCTCACCTGCCTGCACAGCCCTGCCTGTGCCCACCTTCTCCCGGATCTCCAGGGCCCGCTTGCACAGAGGCTCAGCCTCCTTGTACTTGCCCCGCTTGCCATACAGGACCGCCAGGTTGTTTAGTGTCGCAGCCACCTAGGAGGTGGGAGAATGGAGGCTCCGTGACCCAGGACCCTGCTCGGCAGTGTCTCTGGGACCTGGGAGCTGCAGGGGTTAGGGGAAGCCCCCACTTCCCAGCCACCCTCACTCACAGCTGGGTGGTCCTTGCCCAGTGTCTTCTCTCGGATGGCCAGGGCATCATTGAGCAGGTGGGCAGCCTCCTTGTATTTGTTCTGGTCCCTGGGGGCAGGTGGGAGCAAAATGAAGGTTCTCCTCCTGCCCAAGGCCCGCCTCCTGGAGGCCCAAGATCCCTGTGTTCACTCCTCCCCTATTTACTGATAAGTGAGTGTGTTGGGGTGGAACCCAGTTGTGGGGAGATGTGGTCAGCCCCTGTGCTCCAGGAGCCTGAGGGGGGCTTTGAGCAGGAAGGGCATGCCATGCTGGGGTACAGGCCAGACTCCCCCGATCCCACCCTCCCCACCTGGTGCCCAGTGCCCCCTGTCCTCTATTCACCAGGGCCTTTGCTCATGCTGCTCTTTCTGCCAACCCTCTCGTGTCCTGGGCAAACTCAACTTTCACCAAAGGCCCTCCTTAAGCCCTGGTGCCTGGAGAAGCCCAGCATCCTCATGGGCGCCCCCTCCCTGGTTAATCCAAGCCTTTCTCGTCCCCTAGACCGAGGCTTACTCACATCTGTAGCCCAGGCACCCTGTAGGTTCAGCCCTCTCTGGGGATAAGATCCTCCTCCCGCTGTCACCCAACTGGCTGGTGGAGCCCAAGGCTGGCCCACCGTAGTCACTGAAGATTTGTGTCCCAGGGCTGGAGCCTTTGGGCAGAGAGCTCCCATGGATGACCATAACCAGAGGAGCCCTCACCGATAGACCAGCGCCAGGATGTTCAGCATGGTGGCCACGTCAGGGTGGTCATGGCCTGATGTCTTCTCCAGGTCCTCAAGAGCCTGCTTGCAGAGCGGCACAGCCACCTCATAGCGGCCCTGGGAGGCGTACTGGATCACCAGGTTGTGCAGGGTACGGAGCCGTGCCGGGATTTCATAGCCCCCATGCTGGGCAGCTACATCTCCTCCTCCGGGGCTGGGAGCTGCAAAGTCAAGGGCAAGGTGTCAGATGTCCCAACTGGCCCCTCAGCTGGGCTGGCACATGCCAGCCGTACCTTTGACCCACCTGGCAAGTGGTTCTGGGCGAGTCACTAACCCTCTCTTAGTTTCCCCATCTGTAGAGTGGGTCTTGTCACCCCCCAGAAAGAGTAGGCAGAGTCCCAGCTCTGGTACTTCAAGCTGTGCATCCCAGAGCACGTCACCTAACTTCCAAGCCTCAGCCTCCTCAGCTGCAGAAGGCAGGCTCCAAGATGCACTTGACACGATCAGTAAGGCTAGCGCTGGTCCAACACTCAGCACTGCACACACATCCTCCTTTAACCCTCATGGTATACTCAGAGAGGGAAAGAAACTCTACCAGAGGTCACAGAGCAAACAGTGGCAGAGCAGGGCTCACACCCAGGTTGGGCTGCTCCAAAGCTCTGAGCTGTGATGCCTGCTCCTCGTAAAACTTGAGGGGATGAGAGGCAACGTGTAAAAGCTGCCTTTTAAGCTCTAATGCTGGGATGTTATAATCAGACACAAGGCAGGAAAGAACATGGCAGCCACTCAGACCCCGTTTCTTGTGCCCTCTGGGTCCCAAGGACCAGAAGCTTCCACAGCCCTCCTTTCCCCGCCCCCAGAGCCAGCCAGCTACTCTTCCACACCTGGGTTCTGCTCCTCTTCATTGGGGAAGAGGTCATCCAGAGAGTCTTTGGGGACATCCCCCTTCTCCTCCTGGGGAGGAAGACAGGATGAGCATCAGGGAAGGAGGCAGCCCAGCATCCACCCCCTGCCACCCCTCCCTGCTCCCAGGCCCCCCTGCCCAGTGGCCTAGTAGCAGGGCTCACGCTGGGGGAGGTGTCCTCATCCAGCTTGCGGATCTGGCTCATGAACAGCAAGTGCTGCTTCTCCTCCTCGAGCTGGGCCACAGCCTGCTCGCTGCGCTGCAGCTTCTGCTGTGTCCCCGCCAGCTCCTCTCGCAGCCACTGGTTCTCCTGCACCAGGCGCCGCACCTGAGCCCGCAGCTTCTGCTTCTCCGACTCTACAGCCCCAAGGTGGCTGGACAGTGCCAAGATCACCTGTGGCAGCCAGCCGGACGGAAGGTCAGGGCCCTGTCCACCCTGCAGCCTGCACAGCAGCCTGGGCCTCCTGGGGCACCCGCACCCAGTGAAGAGCCAGGCCCAGCTCTGCCTGTGAGGAGCTGCAGGACTGAGGGCCTCAAAGTTCTCCTCTCATCAAGGGAGTTGTGCCCCAGGGCCCCAAACAGACCATACATAGTCTGAGACCTGAACCCAGGAGGCCTGGTGATCTCCACCTCCCTTCTGGAGTCAGGAGCCCTGGGCTCCCAGGCTGGCTCTGCTAGACTCACAAAAAGTCCATCCCCTTTCCTAGGCCTCCAGCTGGTCTTCTGCATGGACGATCATTCTGATCATGATTAGCACTAGTTGCGGTGCTGCCCCTTCCCCGAGCTGTCTGTTCTCTTTCTATCTCTCCTAGGGGCTGTATTCAAGCCCCTGCAGCCACAGCCACTGCACCACTGCCCCTGGCCCAGGGCTAGCGCTTTCCTAAAGAATCCTGATTGTGGCTAAAGGGCTACCAAAAGGCCCCACCCTGGCTTCTGTCAAGGGTCCAGGGCAGCCCCAGAGCTGCCCTTCTGCAGCTCTCAGAGAGGGAAGAGGTGTGTCCCAAACCCCCAGATTATCTGGGGAACCACAGAGAGAGGTAAGGGGATCCAGAGATCTCAGCCTCAGCCTCTATCCCTCTCCCCAAGCTCCATAACTACTTTTCTGAGCTTCCACGCTCTTCCTGCCTGGAGGCCTTGTACAGGCTCTGCCCTTTCACCATCCTTCATGGTCAGGGTCATTGCTGCAGTGAAGCCTCTTTCCTCTTATGCCCTCTGCCCCAGGAAAGCAGGGCACCTCCTCCTCCCTCCACACCATCCTGTTGTCCATCTGTGCTGGTGCCTGCACACTGGGAGGGGCCCCCATGTGTTCATCTCTGTACCTGGGAGTCAACTGGCAGAGGAGTGAATGACCAGCACATTGCCCTTTCAAGGGGCCAGGCAGTCTGGGACCCTGTGCTTTCCAGTTGATTAGCAAAGGCCTCAGTAACAGGTGTTTTCACAACTACTAGCTTTAAAAAAAAAAATCCCTCAACAGCCTGGAAGTATATATGACAGATGGCACAATCCTTACTTTAAAGACAAGGAAACCAAGATGATACCACCTGCCCAGGATTCACGGAGCCAGGCAGTGTCTCAGCCAAGATCTGAGTAAGCCAGGCCTCTTTCCCCGAGAGCCTAACTCCATGTCCACCTCAGTGCCTCCTGGACATCTCCACCTCCATCTTGGCAGTCCCACCTTAAGAGGCTGAAACAGAACTCCTGATCCATCCAGTCTCTCTCCTCCCCTTGATTTGTTCAAACCACAAACCTGGGAGTTACCCTGCCCTCCTCTCTCTCCCTTATTCTACCCCCAGGCCCTGCTGGATCTGCCTCCGTAATGTCCAGAACTGGGACCCTCTTCACCACCTTCATGGCCACCCCTTTACTCTAAGCCATTTCTCATTCGAATTCCAACAGTGGCTTCCTAACTACCTGCTACCTGCTTCCACCCTGACCCACAATGGTTCATTCTCCACACCTCAGCCAGAGAGTTTTGAAAATCTAAGTCAGACTGTGTCCCTTAAACCTGCCAAAGGCTTCCTGATTTCCTGAGAATAAAACCCAAATTAAGAAGGCACAGCATAGTCTGGTTTCTGCCTTCTTCACAGGCCTCTTCTGTCCCTCTCTCTTACCCCAGGAAGCTCCAGTCAGGTCTTCTCACAATTCTCCCACCACAACAAGATCTTTTCTTTTTTTTAACAAGATCTTTTCTACCTCAGGACCTTTGCACATGCAGCCTCTCACTTGCCTCCTTTTTCTGGCATGATGCTCAGGTCTTAATTTAAATGCCATTTCCTCAGAAGTCTTGCCTGACCAATAGATAAGACCTCCTACTCTAAGCTGTCACAAGATCTTGCTCTTTTCTTTGGAGAACTTATCATAATATTGAACAAATGTATGTGTGTTTCTGACTCTCTTCCTGCTGGACTAGGGCAGGGCTCTTGTCTGGAGGGGACTCTCGAGCTCCCCCACGCACACAGTCTGCCTTGTTGGACCTGTATCCCTGCACCGGACATATTGCCTAGCACATAGTAGGCACCTGATTGTTTTCTGTTAACAAATGAATAAAAGAATGAATGGGGGTAGGGTGTTTCCTAAGGATTTTTTGTTCTTCTAGGCCTTCAGTCTTTGGTACCTAGTAGAGAAGCCAGGGACAGGTTCCGCCTGGGGGCTAAAGGATGATCAGGCTCTCCTGGGGCCAGGCAGGCTGCATCTCCAAAGCCCATCCATTTTTTCAACATATATTTACTAGGATCCTACCATGGGGCTCCAGGGCACAGGTGCTTCCCTGTTCAGATTCTGTTACTACATTGCCAGGATTCCTCTGAAAGGCTCCATCCCTTCCATGACCTCCCACCTTAGCACCCCAGATCCGCCTACCTGGGCCTCCCCCAGACCCAGCTCAATTGCCTCCAGGGAGCGGCGCAGAAGGACACAGCGCTCCTGTGAGCCGGGCTCTGCCTCACCAGCTTCATGAGCGACCAGGGGAGCAAGAAGGGCACGGTGCTCCCCGCGCAGGGTCTCCAGTCCTTGGATGACGGCCTTAGTGCCCAGCACGATCTCATCCTGGCTCAGCTTCTCCTCCCGAGGAAGCACCATCGTGGCCATGGCCGTGCCGCCTGTGAAGGCGAGAGGACGGGCAGGGGGGTGCCGGGCCTGGGGCCAAGCCGCCGTCAGCCCCGGATTAGGTAAACACTTAGGGTCCCTGGACGCCTGGGTCCCCCGGGTGCCCGGGTCCCCCAGTCAGCAGCCCCCACCGTGCCTGCGCTCGGCCTACAGGGGGCGCGCCCGGCTCATCTCGGCCGGGGAGACGCAATGCGGCGCTACCGGCGAGGCTGGACCCGGATTCGGCCCAGACCACCGGCTTAGGCCGGCTTAGGGGACTCAGTCTCGGGGCTTCCCCGGAGACTCCTTTAGTCAGAGCAGGGCGCGCCTGAGGACGGGTCCTACGAGAATCGTGGGGGAGGAGGTTCACTCTCGTGCAGAGATTCTGATTTCTCTGGGAGATCTGGCCCCAGCCCCCTCGGGCAGACCCCTCCCCAGCAGGCAGGCCGAACCACTGAGCCCCTCCTCCTGGGCAGGCCGACTCTGGGAAGACCCTCCCCCTAAGGAGCTGAGTTCTCCGGTTCTCCATCCTCCCAAGGCCGCGACCACAACGGCCCCTCCCATAGGCTGGCAAGACGCTCTGCGGACCCCTACCCTGAAAGGCCGAGCTCCAGCCCCCGGCCACCCAACGACCCGCCGCCCCCTTCCCCGGCGGGGTCGGGGCCTCGGGCCCCTCGCCCCCACGGCCCTCCGCCCCACCGACCGACCCCCACCCCCTACGGCCCGACC